AAAATTCTGGWGGAMCAAGGTTTAGACAACCCATTAGAGRCACTCTGAGAAAGTGAGCAAATATTCTATTTATCTATTCAGACTAGAGACAATATTGTGTCTACATAGTAACTGTAACAAGTGCAAATCCAGATACATATTCTGAGGACATCTAGTCAGCAGGTGTTGTTTCTTTCTGTGAAATTCTGGAATTGTTTATTAAAATACTATGTGGGGCTGAGATTTTAGTTATGATGTAAGCAAATCTTTGATACATCAAATAGCARCTTGGTAGTCAAGTGGGGGTTTGGAGTTTGTTTAATGCTGTCTTTTAAAAGTCATTTTGACACCGCGTCTGGGAATAGAAGATATAACATGCATGTTTTGGGTTTTTTTTTTTTTTTTAACAGAATATAATATTTATGTATTTGTTTCAGGTATAATTAAACGAAGTTTTAGTGCTTCTGAAAGATAACCTCAGATAAGGTATGTGTAATATATGATTTTAATATAAATTATACAATTGATCATTGTTATGTTCAATTCCAGTTGCTTGTTTCACAGTGGAACWGTTCCACARTTGCCTTCATGAAACTTGTCCTTGRTTACCTTTACWGCTTCATTTAATCTCAGCCTATGACACTCAGCSTGCTTGAGGATATTATTGGAGGGTGTTTGCACACAAAAACTTTACAGGATAAATAGTTTTAACAACGGACCTTAGTACAACACTTTAAACTGACATTAGCTGGTTAGCCAGATTCTGATTTTATGTTTTTAAGCAGATGTTTTTCCATAGAAAAATGTGCTTGTGTATTTGATAGAGTATATTGTTGTAGTGTAGTAGTGTGGAGAAGTATAATGTCTCTTTTAATGCCTCTAGACCTTCTGCATAAACATAGACACTCATTTCTTGCATCTTGGAGGCCTCATTTCTTTCAAAAAGGAAACAAATAGAAGCAGAATTCCTCTTCTAATGGTCATCTTTTTTTCTTCTGTTTCTTCAGAAATGAAATAAACATATTCTTGACCATTATTTTTTCTGATCTCTTTGGCACCACCCTTGTTCACCCTTATTCACAAATTCTCTTAATTGTTTCTTCATTTCTGCTTTTCTTTCACATCTGAAAAAAGATCTCAAAATCACTCTTGGCTACATCTGCCTCTTGAAAAATTTTTTCATTTTGCCTTTAACTTAGCTAGGTAAGTATTTATAATGATAACATTGCTTCTTTTCCTATGTGTCTCCACAGACTGTTGGATTCAAATGCAATATTTTATTTTTGCTTTCAGAATGGTTCTTCAGCATAACACAGTTTCCCATTTGTCACTTCGTAGCCTTACATCTTTAGTGCTGTTGCAGTCAGTAATGGCAGCCTCCTCATGCTTGAGTGTTGAAGCAAGCATATTTTCTTTCTTTTTGTAGAAATTCATTTCTATACAAATGTCTGCCCCTCACATAATCACTAGCAAAATATTTCCTTATCTTACTTTTTAACAACTCCTTGAAACTGTAGTTTTCCCTGCTGCCACAAAATAGATACAAATTCGTGCCATACTCAGGCTACAGCAGCTGCCATCAATCAGGACATCATGTTGGTTCTTTCAGTTCCCTGGTGTCTGTACCAGGGGATTTGTTATTGCTTATCTCAGCCAGTGAAATCTGCAGTATTTGGGAAAATGTCTAGAGTTTAGAGAAGGAACTAGAATTGAAACATGTAGACCTGTATTTCAGGCACCGCGATATTGCTATCCCAGGGATTTAATATCCTTTTTTCCCCCCAGTTTACTAGTACTGAGCAGGGAAAGAAACTTTTATTTAGTAGAAGTCATGCTTTTTTGGACATGCAGAGTAAACCAGCCTTTATGTGACTTACAAATGCACAGTTGAAAATTAGAGAATTTGGATGTATTTCCTTTAGAGGAAACTTGAGAATGTATTAGGTAATACTGATATTTTCTCTACAAATGTTGATGCCAAACACAATTAAAATGTTTTTTCTTTTTAAAATAATGATAGAGATTATGTTGATGGTTCTGGATCAAGACTGTGACTAGGTAATTTTGTGCTTGCAAGARATTAAAACTTTAATTTAAATTCAACCTCATGATTTGCAAGTTTTTGAACGCCATTACATTATTCTCCTGTTGCATATAGAGTGTTTCCTCTTTAATTTCTTCTTCTTTCCTGCCTATTGATCTGCTTTTGAGAGTACCTTCACTCACCCATAGGTTCCACAATAAGAAAATRGAGTGTGATGATGTGGCAGTCTCATAGTTATAGCTCTTTGCATAGTTTTATCCAATAATTGTACTTAAAAATGTTAGAAAAAAGAGGTAATTACATATCACATACAAATMTGTTATCTGAAATACCATTAACATACTTCTTAAAAATATAAATTCCAATAGTAAACCAGTGAGATCTCATGTTAATTGTCATTATCCTGGCTAAACTTCTGCTGAATGCGATGGGAATTTCTCCTGTGAAACAAGTATTTCATGGAGCTTTTGTAAATCATRATTGATGAAACAAGTTTTCCATTTGAAGTACTTTTCTTTTTTACTGTCAAGCTGCTAAGCTWTAGTTTCAGAATGTGTGTTGTCTGAATTAAATAATACTTGAAATAATTGATTTTGGGCAGTTGAGATATTGATCTTTATTAAAAAGTTCTTTTTGTCTACATGGAATTCTATTTTACAGCTTTTAATATTAAAATTGTATTAAGAATTTTAATTACGCAGTGTTCATTGAAATTTAATATCAACCTCCTGTAGTTTCAGTGCTGTTTACTAAAGAGTGACATCATAATAACAACAYAGTTTAAACCAACTATCCAATCATAATGTCTGAGCACTATAATGATCTACAGACAAATACTTTAGCCTTTGTTGGTATTTTCAGTTTTGTGAATAATTTGAGTAAATGCATTATCTTTTATCGAAACTTTCCTTTTGGTTAAAACTCAAAAGCTTTGATCAAGTCTTCAGCAGCCTATTAACACATGTGCCCTCATCCTCCAAATCATACTATACTTCTTTATTTTAAAAAAAAAGAAAAAAAACCCAAACAAGAAACTTGGAATTTCTGGAGCTAGAAATGGCTCCAGACACTATTTTTGGGAACCTTTGAATATAAAGCAGTATTGAAACGGTAGAGAGATGAAAATTAAGCAAAAAGTGCTAAGTCAAAATTGTTCTTCTGGTGGCATGTATTTTAGATTATTACAGCACAACCTCCACTATCACCTTGAGCAGAAGGACCAAATTACATTTCGTTTTRAAGTGACTCAGAGGAAATGCAAAGCTTCTTTTCCTCTTACTRATTATCAAGAGAAGACCTAGGGAAAATATGTCAAACTGAATTTTATTTGATTTTCTCAACACATCTGCCAAAAGGCAGTGCAACAAAAGCCCCCAGCAACATCAGTGATGTTGTCACCTTCCTGGTCCTACTAGAAATGTGTCTCCCTGTGGTAGAGAAGGACATTTTCTGTATCACTTTATTTCTGTGAGAGTACAGCTCAGACCTGGATAGTCTTTAGACACTACAACTTGAGAATGTCTTTCTTCTTGTTCAAGTAGCCAGCCCAAAAATTAATTAGCAGAAAAGTGGTAATTGTTCTGTTGTGGCCTAGTTGATGTTCGTATTTGGATTTCATCACCCTCTCAGTAGAATTTTTAAACTTTACACAAGATCACTTTGGGGGGAAAAAAAGTTTCTATGGTTATAAACCTGTACATAAGGCTTGATGATCCTCAGGTTGTTTCTGTGAGAGTAAATGTTAGAATATAGATCTAAATTAGCCTCTGAAATGTAGTTTAGAAATAATTGTATTTAAGAGAGGTGCAGGACTRCTGGCTGAAGTTCAATATTTGGGCCAAAACTACTTGCTTGGCTTCCAGGTCTAATACTCAACTTGGAGAGATAATTTTGTGAACTAATGTTCTGTWGTGATACACTAAGTGTTTTATAGTGGAAGTCAGCTGATAAGCTTTTATTAATCTCTGGGCCTGACAATGTGCATGACTTTAATGCACAAGATAAAAAATCCTAAACAAGAATGGATTTATCTCATAGAAATGGTTCATATCAGACATGTTATTATAATTCTTAGGGTAGAATGATAATAAATTTCATAACATCAAAACATATTAAAAAAAGTATGTTAGTCTGTGTAAAAAAAATCCATTAAGAAAATTCCATTTATCATATATTTATCCTTTTGAATAAATGTGACAAGATTTTAACAATTGTTGAGTTACAGTAATACTGCTTTTCTCATAGAGTAATTTAGTGATTCAGAGCAAGGGATTTTCTTTTGAAACACATTATCAATCACACTGTCTAAATGTTTAAGGTTTTAGATTATCCTTTTTTTTTTGTTCCCAACATTATTGGGAAAACAAGTCATGCATTTAAACTTAGAGTTTGCATCTACAGGTTTTAAATGGTGTATGCTATTAATGTACTAAGGCAATAAAATGAGCTGCCCTCCTGATTTTACTCATCATCTGCAGCATTGGCAGGAATTGCTGTACCACAAAGAAAGGTACGTCAGATCAGTGACCCTGTTCTTATTCAGCTGCACAAAATTATCTTCATCACTCAAGTGTGCAGTACTGTTGCTTCTGACATTCTGTACTTTTTAGTCATTTGCTGTTGTCAAAATGATGTTACTGCAAAGTGCTGCTAATTTAGTTACTGTTCTTTAAAAACAACAGAACTTGACATTTTTGCAGATGGCAGGATACTTTAAAAATATATCATTTAAATAAAGACTAACTTTGAATATTAGTATGTGGAGGATGGCAATAATTGAGTCATATAAAAAAATCAGTGGCTCACCTCAGTAAAATGGATTGTACAGTAAAGTATTTTTACAACATTCTGTCATAGMAGCCATATGACTATTTAAGGTGACAATATAATATACTGACATAAAGAGTACATAAAATGCTTTCCTCTGTAGTAATAGTTCCTAATTAACTTTGAAGTTATATTTTAATTATCAATAAATAGTAATACTTTTTTTTATTTTTAGTGCAATAAATTAAATCCTGAATATTAGGTATTTTGAAATGTCAGATTTTTTTTTTTAAATTTAAGACTTGTTTTAAAATTATGTTTAAATGTTTCATAGTGAGAGAGAGTTGAAGTTCTTTCATTCTGATTCCAAAGCTAAAATGGAGCTGAGCTGATACAAAATCCACCTTGAACTCTTGCCTAAAAATGTGATGGAAAACTTTATTCTGCAGAAAGATGACTATCATACCATTTGCAAAATTTCTATTATTAAATAAACATATTTTTATTTTCCAAATTGAAATGTTTACATTTGGGATGTGATGTTTATCACCTCAAGGCTTTTGAGATTGATCAGCTGAATTTGTTTGGTTTTGTTCAGAACAGAATAGCATCGCTGAACTTGGGTATGCTTTACATGTCTCTCTTGTTTTTTTGGTTTTTTTTTTTCCTTTTTAACTGTCAAGCTTATCAAAACAGGTAATACCACAATTAAATAATCAGAGACAAAGGAAACAAACATTATTTAAAATAATTGAAAATTATAACCTTCTACCAACAACAGAAATGAGGCAGTTCAGTTTTTGCATGGTGTATTAGGAGTATGTCCAAGGTGTTCATTACTGAACCATCCTSTCTGTTAAGGAGGTTTTCTCAAGTGGCCTGCTAATTAATATGAGTTATTGAAATGTRGATGCTCAATAACTGATAACTAATAGCAACTCAAAAGCTGTGTCAGAACTGAYCACTGAAGCAGTAGCAACAGCTTTTCTCTGGTTTGAGAGAAACCAGAATCCATACTTGGTTCCTTGCTTGCTGTGCTTCATATACTACTCTTGCACTTGTTTATGTTCCTACAAATCTAASGTTGAGTGTTTTTTATAATACATAGCTATTTTCTCAAATTCTGTTACATATTCCAGCTGACAATTTTAAACTGAAGTTTGCAACGGAGAGTTCTTGCCTGTTAGTTCTTGGCTGCCAGCAGCCTTCCCTGTTTCCATGGGAACAAGAATCAGAGTGATCTCTGGAAAACAATGTAAGAGAAAGCTTTTTAAAAAGCATTATGTAAATCCTTGGCTTTTTTTTTTTTTTTTTTTTTTTTTTTAGCTGATCTGACAACTGATTTCATTAAAACAAAAGCTAAAATTGAACTCTAGTGCCCGAGGCAACTCCAAGTTTCTCAAGCAGCGAACTTGTTCTTTACCACTTGTGCTTCAGAATATCCCATATCCCCRTGGCACATTAACTGCACACAGCTGATTGCAGTGGTGTGTAATCCATGTTGTAAGCCTTTCCTAAGGCATATTTTTTTTACTTGCTTATAGGGTAAGGAACATTCAAGTTCTGACTTAAAGCATATATGTAAGGTCTTATCTGCATGAAAAAAGAGTAGTGTCTGCCTGTATAACATAAAAATCTGTATGCCACCAGCTGTCTGGTGAAGTCTTTTGTGCTTAGCATGTGACTTTGATCCCTGGTTTGTCAGAGCACTCCTGTGAGGCCAATAAAACAGTTCTGGATTTATAGCTGTCTAAAAGCAGTAATTTGTTCCAGTGGGATAAATGTCTTTCTAATGTGTACTATGTCAGTGTTTGAATGTGAATCATCAGTGGTTGACCCCTCCCTAAGTAGTCAAAAAGCTTCCTGAATTCAGTGGAGTGGCATTTCATAAATTTACATCAATGATGCAATTATAAAGTGTGTACTAAATGGTAGAAAATAATATTTTTTCCAACAGTGTCTGCAGGTATAAGCAACTATACAAAACAGCATAGGAGATAATTTCAAAAGAGTAGTAACAGACTATTGAACGGTTGTCAGACTGGGTTGGTGTCATTGCAGTGACCAGAAGCTGGAACTGTATATTTACTGTTGGAGCATAAAAATTATTTTAAAGGAAAAGACATCCTTTGAACTCTATTGAAGACTTTTAGCATAATAGAGTATGAYTTGTGTAGGTTTTGTTTGTTTGKTTTTTTYTGTAAATATAGGTGAAAGGTGTGTTCRTTTTCAACCAAAAAGATACAGGAGGAAAAAGTAACAAAATCAGTTATGCTTTATAGACAAGTGAAAGGTAAATTACATCATTCAAGAAGCTTTGAGTAAAAGGGATGCTGCTCTGAATTAAGACCATAAATACCCTAGAAGAGCCTGTTGAAGCCATTCTATGCACACTGAAAGAAGGCCCTAAGCTTCTTGAAATTCCATTCATTTCAGATGGACTGCCTCATTATAGACAATACGAAATCTAGTCTAATGTTCCGTGTGCTTCATCTGTAGAAAAATGTCCCAAATACTAGCACTTTGACCAKGGAGGCAAATCTAGCATTACCAGTGTTAGGCTTATAATGATGATTACCWTCAAGGGTGGAGGAACAATTATATGATAAGCCAAGCCTAACAGAATGAACAAACTAAGGAGCCTTATTATAATATGCAATTAAATCAAGTCTCATGCTGCTTATCACTGTGCTATTAAATATCAATATTTMTTTTTGCAGTGTAGCTGCTTTTTTCAATAATAGCACTTCTGAATGGGTCATTTTTAGGGCAGGTGTAACTGAATGGTGGAAATATATTTCTTTGTTCCACGTAGCTTCCTCCAACTTTGCAATGCAATGGAAAAGGAGAATTGTTGAGACATTCAGGAAATCCCTCTTCAGTCATCAGAGCAATCCTTGTAATCTGAAATCAGAAAGCAAAAATGTGTGGTACACCATTTACTACTCGTGATCAAGTTTGTCTCTCTTTCTATTCAACCCTGCTACTGATGTTAGTACCACAAAAATATAAGTGTAAGAGTCCATTTTCAAACGGAAATGTTTAAAATATTCCCAAGTATCCTATATTTGGCAAATATGGAGGTTCCTCAAGTAAAAAGTTTCCTTAAGTAAGAAGTGTTGGTTTCAAGTTTGTGTTTTGTCATTAGAACTCTTTTTGTAAASAGGATCTGCCAGTTTCTAATACACAAAACCAGACCTCACCTCACCAGAGCTCAAAAAGGCAAGAAGAAGGGCATGTAACTGGAGATTATGTGAACTCTTCATTTATTCAAGCTCTTCTCAATTTGTTAACGGTTTCTTAATATTTTTCATATTTTGAACTGTATTCCTACTTGAACCATTTTAAGAAAGCAGTTTCCCAGAGTACCTTGAATATAACATGCCTTGTTCTGCTGTTGCACAGTGTCAGCAGGAGTTTAGTGTCATTAATTTAAAACTACTGCAGGTTTGTAAGAATGGCCTAGCTAAAGAAGCGTGCCTGCATGTTTTCCTGTGACATGCTGGGTGCTCTGCAACAGACAGAGAGCTAATGATTAATATCAGAATGTCTAAATGTTCCTTCGAAATCCCCTGAGAAGACTGTAATCAGCAAAGGCTTTGAAAATTACTTCCTTGGCATCTGTGTWCCAGGGGAGACTGAAGCTAAGATATTTAATTTCTGAGTTGATGATGAAGCAGTTATTAGATATTTTATTGTACCTAAAATTTGATGACTAAGATGACTTATCATTCACATAATTCTCCTCTGTAACTTAATTTGATTATCWTCTGCTTCCACTGAGTTCTGGACTCTTCTATGTTATTGTTTGCTACAAAACAGACTAGCCCCAAATGCTGGATCCTTCCTTTGCTTTTGTAATAATTAACCTGAGATGCTAAAACTTCCTGGAAGGTGGCACATTGGTTGTTATTTAGTAAGGTAGTTAAAGATGCTTCTTTCTGAGCTATCAGTTTCATGCTGTCTGGTAAATCAAGTTGGGATTTACATTAAGCAATTCCTGTATTTCAGCCATAAGACTAAATCTAAGAAATACCTGCTCATTGTGCATTGAGTTGATGTTTTCAGAAAAGGATGCCCAAAAATATGGTAAGAAAAAGGAAGTGTTTATTATAAAATTAACCTGATTCTCAGGTGTTTCAAAATTAAGGAAGTTATTTGTAAATGTTATCAACTGTAAAATTGTGTCAGCTTCACAACAATGGGATTTAAATCAGCAAAATGGGAAGAAATACTCTATTTAAAAAGTAAACGGTGGTTAACTGAAAATGTTTGAAATGTTGAATGCAATTCCAGGCATTCTACCTTGAAGGGAATAGTAACAGAAACTAGTAATAGAAAGCAACAACAAAAAAGTGTAGTTAGAAGGAGAATTGATAAGCATAATGTTGCCTAATTTACAAAAAACAACACTATAAATGTACAGGATAATAAGGATATCATTTGGAGGTAATGGGAAGAACCTAAATAGAGAATAGAATTGGGTTGAACTCTTACTGCAGATGTTGTTATGAAGTTGTACAATTTCTGGAAACAAAATCTAAAAATAATGGGATTTTAACTATGCCAGATAGGAAAACCAGATAGGTAGAATTTCAGACAAAAGAATTCCTCCACTGATCAGTGGTGGGATAAAGGTCTTCCAACAACAAAGATTCTTCTGTAAGTGTAAAAGTGTTATTGTGCTGTAGAAACATGACTGGAATTTCTCTCCTGTACACTAAGGCAGTCGTGTCAGAGTTGTTACCAGTGGATGTTTTCAAAACTAGATGTTTTGAAGTTTAATGTCAGAATTCTCGTTCATCTAATCAAGCAGGTGAACAGACTTTCAGGTTTTAGAAGTGCTGGGATACCTCTAATGGGAGTGAAATCTCTTAAATATGGGCTAACAATTTCACCTGAAGCCACAGTTTTGAAAGTCAGAGTCATCAGGTGCTCCTTTCTCACAATTTTAAGAGAATACACTTTCCTGTTTATCTTCACTCAAATGTATAGTTCCTGATGTTTTATTCAGATATCTTGAAGAATTCAATGCTTATACTAACTGCAGATACTAAGTGCAGATTGGCAGCTTGCAATGTTCAGTTTTTCTGGAGAGGAGATAGGATGTCCATAATTGTGTTCACCMCTTTTTCATTAATCTAAAAAGTGTTGAAATCTCTTTTGACTTCTGATTGCACTGGGAAACATAGAAAAGGGTAAACTTCCTCCYAGAAGTCTGAAGTTTTGGCAAATGGGAAGGATGGAGATTTCAGGTGTCTTWATTTTTTTGGTCTATTTTTTCCTCAGCTGCTGCAAAGTTCTCCTGAATTGATTGAAACCAACACCTTCACAGTAGTTTGGCAAGTGGTGCATCTTTCTTCAGGTGCAATTGCAATATGTTGCTTCCAGATGATAGAAAAAGTAAACAAAGCATCATAAACTTCTGTAGTGGCAAATATATTTCTAGTAAAGCATATTATATCAAAGCAGAAGGTATTGCTACTAACCAAGATCAGTCTTTAAAAAAGACAATAAAGTTATGTTGACTATACTGAGTTTCTGGTTTGTTTTTTGTTTGTTTTTGGTTTGGGATTTTTGGTTGGTTGGTTGTGTTTTGTTTTGTTTTGTTTAATTTGTGGTAGGAAATGCAGCTTACCACTGCTGGAACTTTCTACTAATTGAAAATAGTATAGTTTGGAACTATAAAGAAATATCAAAAGTGCAAATAATTCATGGTTTATCCATGAAAATTAATAGAAATATTTGTAAATGAAAATATCCTTGCACATAGTTTTTAAACAAACTCTTTTTAAAACTTATGTTGTTCTTTCATCATGTTTGAAACAGTTGTAATGGGTTGATTTAATTACATAGCTAGATCAAGCCATACAAACTTGAGGAGAGARAAAGGCACACACACATATATATGTGTATATACTTTAGAAAATATATCAATATATATGTCAATTATACTTTGGACTAGTGATACTCAGTGAGTGAGGCAAATTATGAACAACATGTATAATCAAACTTACAAGTTGTGACATCATCTGGGGGTAGGGAACTACAATTCCAGGGTCAGAGACTTTTTCATCATGTGCTTCTTTGTGCAATGAACATAAGGGAAACATGCAGTCTATATTTTGGTAACTGTGCCATTTACATTCTTCTAAATACAGAAGAAACTATGTTGCAATCTATGGACTAAAGGACACAGTAACATTAAAATCTGTGGCACCAGAAAGAAGAGCGAGAAAATTTAATTTGGATTGCCTTTGTGCTGAAATTAGTATGTCTGTTCCACAGCTTATTTTCAAAAMCCAAAATTAATACTAGGTGAAAGGGTGATCTTTGAGTAGGAAATGAGTCCCTAACAACCACTTTAAATATGAGCATTATTTTGTTCCCGGAGACGATAATGCAATTTGTTGAGATGCTCATTATCTGTAATTTTTAATCTCTTAACCTGTAGACAATACTTATGTCCTCACAAATTGCTGCTGGCTGTGTGCCCTTTACCCTGTAAATTTTAACTGGGGAAAAAATAAGGAAGTTACATTTCTGAGTTCTGTTACATTAGGTCTTTAAATGTTTTTTTATCAGTTAGAACACTTCTTTAATGTATGTGCATCAAATGTTGATATCTTGCCCTGAAATGACCCCAGCTTTTCAGAGGGTCATGGTGACCAGTGGGAGTTTCTGATAATGAAGCACCTCTCTTGTCATTATGTTTGTAGTGGAATTGCTAAGAAASTGATAAGAGAGCATAAATCCCAAATTCAGTAGTGTAACACTACTTGCCTTTTACTTTCAGRCATTTTTGGCACTTCTGTCATGGCAGAAGGGATGACATATGAGCAGCTGCAGGTAAGCGATGTATATCTACCTATATGTATTTATTTATTACTTTTAATGAAGATAATTCACTGAAATTAAGTCCTTTTATGTTGTAGACTCTAACTGAGTAGGTTCTAGGGGAAAGTGGTTATTCCAGTTTCTCTTCTTACAGGTCAGTCTAGTCAATTTTAAAAGAAAAAAATAATTATGATAATTTTCTAAAACCAAATGTATAATCTTCCTGTTTCTGGGACTGCAATTCACTTTAAGCTTAATGCAGTATGTGGTTTATTATTAAGATATAAGTAATGTATTTGGAACATATTAACTAGGCAGCTTTGTTTGGCCACATCTGTTTTCTTCATTCAGATGAAAGAGAAGTAAAAGAATGGCAGCAATTTCCTCATATTTTTTTCCACATAAACCTGCATCTGAACAAAAGGTTAATTACATAGAAGTATGTTCTATTTAATACTCTGTCATTACAGGGTTTAAAGGSTAAAGCTGATATATTTAGCAAAATATTTGAGTACAGCACAAAAACCAATATAAGTGTTTACTAGCACAAAAGTGCAATGGATGAAAAAAAATGTAGTGATCTTTGAAACTCAGCAAATGCTTTGTCCTCAAGATGGTGTATCTTTCCTGCAGGAAAATTTTAACATAAGAAAGAAAACATATGAAATACATCATTACTGTGGAAAACATCAGCCTAGCATTTCTCATATTTTTTTCGCTTGCTATCCTGTTATTTCTCATTTCAAATATTCTTTAGTGTAAAAAAACATTAACTGCATTAATCAAGTAAGTCTGTTCTTATCTTTGCATTAATCACCATTTTAAAGTCTGTGAGACTGCAGTTAGGTTTTCTAAAACAAACAAACATAAACACTCCCCACCCCTTGCCGCTGCTAATATAAGTACTTAGAGGTTTTAAGAATTTATAGTTTGTGATGCCTCAGCATTTTTCAGTTATTTTTTGATCTCTGCAAAGTTTTTGGTATGGATTGATTCAAGCTTGAGAAATTTCTAATAGTAGTCTGAATATTTCTAYAGGCTACTCATTAAATTGGTATTTCAGCTTGCAAGCATCTTGCAGCTGCCAGCTCAAAGTATTGAAAATCATGATTCAACACTCCCAAAATAAAATAATGGTCCAATCTTTAAACCTTCAGGGTGTACTTGAATTATGTTTACAGATTACTTTTTCAGCCATGAGGTCTAACAAATTTCTTTATAATTGTTTTCAAGTATTTTAAAATTTTTGCCCTAATGACAAGCTTCCAGGATTTGATGCTGTAGAAAAAATATTGCACAACTGATGAAAAGAAAAAAAAGAAAAGAAAAATATGTCAAGATCTAGCAAGCCCTATTATAGATGTACAAATGTGTTGTAGTTGTACAGGCATTTATCTCACAGACAGACTAGTAAAAAGTGTCTTACTTTAATTAAATGTAATGAACTAGATCTATGAGTAGGAACTTCAGTGTTTTACAACAACTACTAGAGAGATAAGGTATCTGTTAAAGGAAATCATTGACTTATGGGATATCACAYTTGGAAAGGACAMRTAARGATCGAGTCCAACTCTCTGCTMCTCACAGGACTACMTAAAMCTAAACCATATATGATAACAGCATGATCCAGACACTCCTTGAATTCAGACAATCTTGGWGTGATCCCCTGCCTGGGGAGCCTGTTCCTGTGAGGAACCTGTTTCTGATGTCCAATCTGAGCTTCCCCTAGACTTCATTCCATTCCCTTGTGTCCCACTGCTGTGAATGTAATTGCTGAAATGTAGAGGATGCTTCAAGATTGCAGGCACATATGCTAGTATTTTCAACATGCTAGTGCTGCAGAAATGCACATGGGAATAATAGCAATGAAATAATTAACAGTCTTTTTTTCCTGATCTGTTCAGGACTGCTTTTTTTTTTTCTGCTGTGTTGGAATTCCTTAGAGAGTAGCTGTTCTGCAGAAAACTAACATAAGATTCTAACTCTTTAAAAATGTTTTTTTTAAAGGAGAGTAAAAGAATATTCTCCACAGCTACATGGGATGACAGTGTAGTATAAGGAATTCTTCTCAATAATATGTTTATCCTGCAGAAGGAAACAAGTGAAAGAGCAAGCAGTACATTTCCACATAAATGTAAGGTCTGGAGAAGGCCAGTGGATGTTCAGCCTCAATSACATTGGTGGATGTGCTATGTCTTTGATTTTCACAGGAGCAYAGGAAAATTGGAAAGTGCATTTTGTTTCCCCTGAGTCATGCAACTTCTTTAGCAGCACTTGTAGTATGTTATCCACAATCACTGCTGATTTGTGTTTTCTTCATGGGATTTGTAGCAAAGACAAAATTGATTTTGGAGTGAATTTTGGAGGAATGGAGTGAAATCTCCTCATTGATATGAATCTCCTTAGAAGCTAAGATCTAT